AAACTGTGTAATATAGCTTGCTCAGAGAGAGAGAGAGAGAAAGAAAGAGAGAGAGAGAGAGAGAGAGAGAGAGAGAGAGAGAGAGAGAGAGAGCGAGAGAAAGAAAGGTAGTAGACTGAGGAAAGGCGGCAGGGAAGATAACTGAGGGGCGGTAAAAGAAGAAGGAGCCTGAGCGAGGGACAAGGGAGGCAAGGGAAAGGACGGGAGGGAACGAATTTGGAGTTTTGCACTCTGCGAGCTAGGGCGCTCTCCTAATTATAAACGCAAGTCTACTGATAAAAATTTATTACATATCTCTATGCTGAGATACTCCCTAACCATATTAAATGCATATTTATCACAAAATATAACTCTTCTGGTGAGATATTGCGCATGCGCTAACCCACTAACGTAGCCAGATTGCGTACTGACTGGTATATGCAGCGGGGACCTTACATGCAAGGTCTTTTTCCTATTTTATAACTGAGGCCTACTTATGAGATATTATCATATAAATCTATGCTAGGATAACCCCTCTTCATTTTTACTCCATAATTTTTGCAAAATATTATTTTCTGGAGATATTGCGCATGTGCGAGTACCGTTTCAGGCGTGCAGTACAGACTGAAGACAACTGCATATTATAACTTGCTGAAGGAGTGAGAGGTGTGTGACTGCGGAAAGGCAGCAGGGACGATAACTGAGCGGCGGTAAAAGAAGGAGGCTGAGCGAGGCGCAAGGGAGACAAGGGGAAGGACGGGAGGGGATGATTAGGAGTTTTGTACCGTGCAGGCTAGGGCGCTATCCTCTGGTGAGATATTGCGCATGCGCTATAACACACTAACGTAGCCAGATTGTGTACTGACTAGTATAGGCAGCCGCGGAATCTTACATGCAGTCTTCGTTCTATTTCTTAATGTATAATCACATTATATTAATAAAAACCTTAAACAATATAAATGCAACATCTATCTTTTATAGCATTGACCATTGCGTTTCTTAACCATTGCCAGTCACTCTACGTGTACTTCAACCACGTAAGGTACTTGTAGGATCATAGAGTAAACTTGCGGTTTATCCTAGGTTAAATGCCTTACGCGAGCACACGACCTGTGGCAATCCTGGTACACGGACACCCCCCTCAGCGTACATAGGTCTCTGATAATCACCTGTCCATGAAGGTATCGCGGAAGGCACCGGTGAGGCAGGCGGTCAGCACGTCGTTCACAGTAGCACCGCACGCATTCTTCACCTGCTTTACCGACGCCAGGTTAATCGGAGGTGACCACGCCATTATCTGAGCGAACAGCACCGTAATCTTTTCACACCTGAATGTTATATGCTCACACGCATGCGTGTACGTCCGCCCGCTCGCACACACACACACACACACACACACACACACACACACACACACACACACACACACACACACACACACACACACACACACACACACACACACAC